TGTTCTGATAATCTCCTTACATTCTGGTAGCTCCAGCCAAGCATCAAAAAATTTAAATGGTTTTGGACCCCAGTCAATCTTCTCTTCCTTCAGTAAAATAGGACCGTGATCCGACACCGATCTACGCAACCCCCATTGTTTCACCTCTCCCCATACTGAAAACCAGCCTTCCGAAATCAAGAATCTGTCTATTCTGCTCATAAATTTTCCATTAGAGTTATACCACGTATACTTTCGACCTACCAGTGGTAAATCAATTAACCCAGCATTGTGAATAAAATCACCAAATTCTTCCATCTCTACATTCATCCCTTTACACCCTGCTCTTTCTTCTATACTTCTTACTGCATTAAAATCTCCTGCAAGGCACCAATTTCCATTTCTACTCAAAATTAAACGCTGCAATTCTTCCCACAAGGCTCTTTTACCCGTCACTTGGCAAGGTGAATAAATATTTAAAATGTGCACTAGAATTTTGTCCTCTCCCCATACACCAGTCACCCCTATAAAATTATCTCCCTCAATCACCTCTGTCAATTTAAATACCTTAGGGTTCCAGACACACAGCAAACCACCCGACATACCCGCCGTTGGTTTTGAAATCCACTCCATGTCATCCGTACCCCAAACTCCTCTGCATATACTATTATCTACAGCTTGCAGCTTCGTTTCTTGTATAGCTAAAAACTCCACTTTTTCCTTCTTAACTAACTCCCTAATTTGCCTTCTCTTCCCAATCCCTCCAAGACCCCTAATATTATAGGACAATAAAATCATTAGGGTCAAGACCTACCTTCCTCGCCTCTCCAGAACCGTGATTTGCCTTCTCTGCTTTGTCTCGGCTGTCTCTACTCTCCATCTCTTCAATTCTTTGAATGATCTCTCTATCATCCTCGGCCACTGCCCCTAGCTTTTTCGCAAGGTCCCAGATCTCCACTGCTAAATTCATCTTCATTTGCTTCTTCAAACATCTATTGCAGTTCTGGATGCCACTATCGCCTACTGAGTCGCCTGCAATCTTCCCCTTTGATCCAGGTAGAAAGCTTGGCTCGGATCTCCCCTCTGCGTCTTGTTTGCCCTGTTTTCTTCTTCCTTTCTTTAATTTCGGACCCATACCCACTGCTCTTGATTTAGCATACACGGATCTACACATCTTGATCCTTCTTTTCTTCTTCGTTGAGCCCTCCTCT